GTGGAAATGTATATTAAAAGTGTTTTAAAAGTATAACTATTCTTTAAAGTGTATATCTACCCAAGGCTATTATTAAAGTTTTAGATAGAGTGGGGAAACATTGTGGCTGTTCTTATTGTGGTCTCCGTCCCTACTAAAAATATAAGCTTCACACTCTGTGTGCCTTGGTTACTATGATCAATGAGACAGAAAGCAATGGGAAATCCAGAGTTGTATGGCAAGGACTAGAACAGAAGGTGCTGTGGTGCATCTTTTGTATGATGATCATTATAAATTGGAGATTTTTCACTTCTACATGAGATGTACCCTTGAAAATAGCATCTAAATGCTCTGGATTCAGAAGCAGCATGATGCCATTTGTGAGAGTTGCTGCTTGTTTACAAAAAGACTGCCCTCGCTGCACAATGGATGAGAAAGCAATCTCCTTTTTTGTTTTCAATGACGGGAATTAGAGCTAATATTATAAACTGTTCATATGGTAACACAGCCCCTTCTGGTGTTGATTCAAATTAAATGTGGTTGGCTTACGCACTTGCCAATGATCTGCCAGTTCCTCATTTAAACAATTAGGAGTGAGGTTGTATGCAATGAGATTTTCTATATGAAAAGAAAGGATCCAAGTAGGCATGAACAGGCTTGTGAGTGCAACCCCATGGGATTCCTTGCAAGCAATATGTTCTTGACTCATCTAGCAAATTGTTAACGTTGAACTCTTAAAGCTGTTCATTAAAAAGTAAAAAAATAACTATTCTTGGTTGTCGTTACAGGGCAACATCAAGTGAAATTACTTGTTATTGGGTTTTTTTTTTTTTAAACTTGTCCACCTGCGCTTTCTAATAACACCAAAGATTCTTGTGTAGCCTCTGTCCAGTGGGCAGACTCGGTGTCCGCAGCAGCATTCATTTAGGTTTCTGCCTTGCAATCAAACTACTAATCAGAAGCTTATTGTACAGAACAAAAAGATCTGCACGTTTTCACTGGATTTTTTTTGTAAAGAGTTCCTGACAAATAATACACTAAGGCAGGGTTCTAAAGCAGTCAGAGTCCTTGAGTGGTTCATACAGGTCAGGGTATTGGAACAAAGACATCATTATTGATCAGTCAGTTATACTTAATAATCCTATTATTGCAGAAATTCTAAAAACTACGCCTGGTTGAAACCCTTGAAAGGCCATGCTATGTAAATAGCTGCTGCTATTTATTTGTAGTATTCTTTTTTTCTTTTTTTTTTTTATGGCACCAGTATATCACACAGCCCTTTACAGAGTACATAGAATCCTGTTGCCCAGAAGAGCACAATCTTATGCTTCTATCACACTCAAACTCATTAGGCAAAATTTGGATGGAAGCCATTTAATCTACTGACACGTTCTAAATTGTTGAATGAAATCAGAGTGCCCAGAGGAAATCAACACAAACACAGGGAGAACATACATAATGGAAGGTGGAATACAAACTGCAGACCCAGGGCTACAAACCACTAACCCTAACCACTTAGCCACTGTATTATTATTATACACGATTTATATAGCGCCAAGTGGAGTGGCACAGCTAGACATTCCGTCACCTGGGGCAAAGAGTTGCTTCCCCCCCTCGAGACAAGTTCTCCATTCACACAACCCCGCCCCCACCCCACACTTCTGAGCTCTCTTTTTCTTTTCTCATGGTGGTCTGGTTGAAGCACTAGGGTCTGGTCGATGCAACCCTGGTAGTTCCACCCCTGTGTCAGTCTGCGCCGGGCGGCGTGCCCCCCAATGCGACGCTCGGGGCACATGCCGCCTCCCCCCCTGGTTATAGCCCTGGCCAACTGTTTTGCGGAGCACTTTAGAATATAAGGAAGACATTACAGTTACAATACAAATCAAGACAAGATGGTAAGGAGGGCCCTGCCCGTGTGAGCTTACAATCTAAAAGATTGTACACTGTACTGCATGTGTTGCACGGGGGTTGATTTTTTTTAGCAAAAAACATACATCTTACTGGTTTTTGGCCTATAAGGGGAGACATGAAAATCTTTCATTTAGACTAGCTAAACTAGCAGCCATCTAATCCATTAGAATACCCACATTTCATCTGATTCTATTTAACTTTCATTGTTGCTTTTGGTTCTAGAGCTTACCTAAGAATGTATGCCAAATACACAGGATATACAGTATATTTATTGGAAATGTTCTAAGCTTCTCCTTTCCATTATATTGTCTTGATGATTTTGTGTTCTCTTTGTATAGGTGTGTGTGACACAGGCTGTGGAAGGGTCTCAGGAACCACACGAAATAAAAAAACTAGGAGTTGGGGATTATTTTGGTGAAAAAGCCCTGATCAGGTAAAATATACTACTGTGAAGTGACATTAGCATTCATGAACCTCCACTGGAGGACAGGTCTATGGGCCAAGCATAGTACTAAAGCAGAGTTTGCTATGGGGCAAAAAATATGTAGGTCTGTATACAAGATTCCCAAAGGTACCCCAGAGAAGTATTGAAGCTGCCGTTGCATTACCCACCTTTAAGTTACTCTATTTGTTTTAAACAGGTGTGGATGTTGGGCATACAGCATATATCCAAAAAAACATTATCAAACTACATAGGATGTACGTCCTATACCCTGTTCCTCTCTCCCCCTGCCAACCCCTTGCCACACATTCCCTAATGTAATATTCAGATTTTTATCTGACTTTAAAAAAAAAGAACCATTTTAATATGTTTTTTAGAAAACCCGTAGAAGGAAAGTGTGTACAAACCACTACATATTCCCTAGAAACATAGCATATTCCTTTTATATGGGCCATGTTAATACAAAAGGGGAAATGACTTTTGGCTTCAGAAATGGAAACCATGAACAAAGTCTTAGATTCCTGCTCACAAAATTGTTTCCAAGAGTAAAATCTAAGAGCAAATCTTTGGGGTCATTTTTTAATGTTTTTAACTTTTTATTTTGCAATAATAATACATATTCTTTGTCAAAGAATCGGTTACTAGAGCACAGCAGGGGCTGTTTAACTTTAGACTCGCTGTAACTGGAACTCTGTGCTTGTGTCTGTACTGATCAGGCTGGAAGATTGTTCAGTTATGTGTAAATTTCAGCTTGAGCTTTTGAGCTCTGTAAATGCTAAGAGCTCAAAAGCTAAGGGTAGACAGTTACCCATTTTGAAAGGGAGCTCAACCTGTTGGCTGGAAATGAAAATACAAAATATATATTTGCAATATTTTATATTTACCGACTTTAAAAATATATATATATTTTTACATATTTCCATGGATACAAAGCTGTATCAGTTGCTGGAGTTTAAATTATCTGCTCTGTGCTAGTGTTTATAATAATGTAATCCCCTAACTGTTTCATGCCCAAAATAAAAAAGTTGGTGTCACAGTGCAGAATATTCAGATAGTAGAATGTAGTAGACCCTTACACACAATACAGGGGTCCCATTCATCATACTGTAGATGCATACAGTTTATTTTCCTTAGGGGGCATTAATCATAAACAAATAAAGGTGGTAGAAAGACACCGAATGTGAGAGTTTAATGTCCCCTGTGATGTAATAATTGTCATATGAATCAAATTGTTAATGTAACCATTGTGACAGAGATTCCTGTTAACACATTTAACAATGAGAAATGACTGAATAAAATGTATGTATAGGTCAAACCTTTTTAGATAAAGTAGGAAAGGGTTAAACCCCATCAGTTCCTTTTTTTGCTATTGTATCCAATTGTGGAGATTTACCTTAATTTCCTGTCCTAAAGACACAATGGGAAGTAAGAAAACATCTCTACAAAACAAATGGAATTATCCTTCTAGTCAGTTGTCACCCCAACAGGTATCCCTATTAGAAGATTTCTCCTTAGCTCTTGTTCTGGGGACAGTGGCTATCCCATCACTTTCTATCTCCGTAATCATGGTCACCAGGAGAAATAGAGAAGAAGAATCTCTTCAGTGGGCACACACACAGTTATTAAAATAACTTGCAGGGTTCTAATCAATACCTACTTTATCCAAAACTAAAAATAAAAGTTTGGGCTGTACATTGAAGTATATTAAGTAAAACAAGTTTTTTAGATTTCTCTTTGTGACAAATGTCCTTTTTTTTCTACCAAGGCTGTTTCTGTAACTTTACCACAAACTCAGATTGTCTTACTTTCACTTTGTTGATACTATTTATAATATTAGAACTACATATACATTTATTGTAAATAATTATGCCATCACCATCTGAATACACACTAGTAAATAGTTAATTGTAAAATACATAACATGGCTGTATAAATGGGTCTTGATGATGCTCTTGATGTGACCCCATAAACATTGATTTAAATAATGATCTAACTGGCTCAATAGAGTGATGTGTGATGGCAAGGACATTCATGGCACATTACTACATTGTCCAGTCATGTAGTTTGTTTGGCCATCAGTTTATTGATTGCATGTTGACATTTGTTCACTGACAGAAACTAGTATTTCCCTAGACGTTGTTGTTTTGGTAACTAAAAGGAAATACTAGATGGAATAATAAAAAATCTTGGACAGTTGATAATGTAGACGTGCACTTATGTTGCAAATGATAGAAGGCGAATGAGTTAGACATTTAAATTAAACTAAACTCTACTCCATGTCCAAAATTCTAGACTGATTGAAGCCATATTCACACCAGGGTGACAGCGTTGAAGTGCGTTTGTGTGAGTTTTTATGCGTGTTTCAGCACCAATCAGCGCTACAAAGGTAATCAGGGAGAATTTCAGGCGCAAGGCGTATGGCAACATGCGATTTCACGCATTTGCGTGAACGCCCCCCATAGGAATGTATGGGATTTTAAATGTTGGCGTTTCAGCGCGGAAAATCCGCGCGACAAAACCACCAATCACCCAAAGTAGCAAATCAACACATCTCCATAAATTTTGGTTTGGAAACCGTTTCAGGTTACCTCTTTATTACCATCATTTTCAGTACTGTAATATTTACAGTGGCAGCAGTCTGGATGTAGTGCCTTTTGTATCAGAATGTTCTTTCATGGACAACAATCAATTTAGGGTAGGTCCAATGCCATGGGGCATTGCTAAGCTCTTAAAAAGACATGTAGAATGGGGCTTGCAGCATAATATAATTAAAGCAAGTGAGCTGTTTTTGTCCTCCCTATCATATCTTCTCTCTCCCATCTCCCTTCTCTTTGCTATCTTCCATTTGATTGGTCACGCCCGTTTTTGTTCTAATTGGGGACACAGCTACATGTAGGACACCACTTTCTTTATTGCAGGACAGGAATAAAGTGATCCTCTCTCCACCCTCAGCCTGCTGAGCGGACAGTGGAGAAGAAAGAGGCTGATGAGGTCATAGGTTCACTCTGCTCTCTTCTTTTATTAGCAAGTTTCTTGTCAGAACATCTGCAGGCAACACATCTGATGGGCTCACAATGTACTTTCAGTGCTTTTTTACAGGGGGCCAATATCAAGTTAAATTCAAGTATATTTATTACTAGTTGCATAAATAAAATTATTTTAAAGACGTATTATTGAATACAGGCTGTATTAACTTTTGCCTTTTATATCTGCCTGGAGTTCAGTTTTAATTGGCATTACAGGCAAAATTAAAAACCCAGCAATTATTTAAAAAATTACATGTTTTGTAGTTCCCCCAAATAGTATACCTGACATAACTGAAAGAGGTCATAAAATCTTTTTCTTGAAGTTCATTGAGGGACACAGGAATGTAGTAATTCATCAATATATGGGTTTTATCACTGCCTTCAGGAGGTTTGGCAAACAAAAAAAAATTTAGGCTAGCCCCTGTATGATCCCACCTTTAACCATTATGCCTCATTTTTCGAGCAAACAGTACCTAAGACCAACAACACTGAGGGATGGGGACTGTGTCCCTTAATGGACTTTAAGAAAAATGTGTTACAGGGTGTACCGGAATGTAATAATTCTTGGACATATGGGATGTACAGAAGCAATTCAATTGGGGATGGGCAACAGCCACTGAGAAATCCTACAGATCAAAATAGAAGAATATCCATAAGAATCCAGGCCTAAACAAGGCCAGATGTAAAAAGGGAGGCAAATTTGGAAATTGCTACTAGTGACGAAAGGCACAAAGACAGAATCTTGTGTTCCAGAGCAGGGCAGGTAGCACCACTAAGGGGAGACAACTATCTCAAAGAATAAATGACCTCAACTAGAATGTGGTGACCACCATGAGTATAAAAAAACAGGGAAGTAGACAAAACAGGAAAACAACCATTTTTGAGCATTGTTCAAAATTCAGATTCTGCAACTCAAGAGGAGAGGAAACATTTACGGAGAGACCATATGGAAAGGAAATATGGTAATTCCAATGAGTTCCACTCAATCCCAAAGCACTAGTGTGTACGTAATAATCAGAGCTGCAACAAAGTCCTGAACATTTCTGGGAGTCTTAATATATTTAGTTCCATATTTAGACAGATATTTGTGGAGACCGGATCGAGGGAGCAACTTCCAAATACTCAGCAGACATAAGCTTGAGTACTGGCGGCCATGGTCCTGCTGTGTACTCCCAATGGCTCCCTAATAAAGACACCATAAATCAGTGTGATAAGCTTTCCATTAAGGTGAAGAACTGGAGAGTCCTTAAAGGTAGGGACCATTTGTAAGGAATTTCATATCAAAGAGAAAATGCTTTTTCATATCATCTGACGGAAACCATGATTGCAATGCAAGTTCTTAAAGAAGAACTGTTCTACAATAGAGAATATAGGGAAAGTATTTGCGTTAGCACAAGATAAAAGGATACAGTCTATGAACCCATCGCACTCAAAACCGCTGTTCCTTATAAAAGACGGGTGCTGCGGGAGTCGACGGATGGCAAAGTCAGGCCTGATGAAGGGGATCCTGTGAGACCCCAAACGTTGCTTTTTGATGCCTTGTGCTATGTTTCATGCGTCAATAAACAGACGCCATTAATTCATTACTTGGAGTGCCGGTGTCTATGTTATCCAGCACAAGATAAAAGACCCTTTACCTGGTACCTGGTTGATCGTCTAGATCAGGGATGGCCAAACTGCGGCCCTCCAGCTGTGGTGGAACTACGAATCCCATGAGGCTTTGCAAGATTCTCACAGACATGACTACCGGAGAGAGATGCTTCATGGGATTTGTTGCTTCACCACAGGTGGAGGGCCAGAGTTTGGCCATCCCTGGTCTAGATGAATAGCAGAGCGTACTGCATTGGTCATATTGGAAACAAAAGGGTGCATATCAGAGTCATCAGGAACCTTGTCAAGTATGTACAGGAGTAGGTTGTGAAGACTCTGAATCAGAGATAATGATAGGGGCCTCAAACACTTTGA